GTGCGGATCCCGCCATGCTCCCGCCGCTCGCCGTCCGGCCGCCGGCGTCCGCCGCCGCCGCGCCCGCGCCCACGCCCGCCCCACCGGCGCCGCCGTCGGCCGCCTGCTGCTGCCGCAGCGCCGCGAGCGCCGCCGCGACCTGCTGCGCCGCGGCCGGCGGGATGTCCAGCTTCACGCCGACTTCCCCGTAGGCGCCCTGCAGCTGCGCGACAAGCTTCTTGTAAAAGAGCGAAGCGTCCTCCAGAAATTTCAGGAACGCGGCGATGGTACGCTTCAGCTGCTCTCGTGCAGGCTCGCCGGCCTGTGGCCAGGGGCGACGGTTGCGTGAGGAGGGTGAGGTCGCTGGGCGGCCCGGCGACCTACCATGGGGGACGCGGCTTTGTGGGACTCATTGCCAACTTGTCAGACAGGACAATATGATACAGACACTGCCATGGGAACCCTCCGCAACTGGATTGCTGGCCATCGCAGCGCCAGACACACCCGAGCTCAAAAGCCGGGCAGCCAGCTCAGCGCACACCGCACGAACGTGCCGCGCAGCCGCCCCTGCTCCTCCTCGCGGCCTCGCCGCAGGGCTAGCACCCCAGCTGCGGCGCGCCCTCGTCTGCGTCACATACTCGGGGCCGCGCACCTTCTCCGCTTTGCGCAGCCGCGCGCGGAACTCCTCAATGGGGCGGTAGAACACCGACTTCCAGAGCGCCTGCTCGACGTCGTTCGCAGCCGCAAAGGCGGCGTCCAGGAAGAGCAGGGCCTCGTAGCCGCCGCGCAGCTGCTGGCGGAGGGCGCGGGGCTCGGCGTCGTAGAAGCTCTGCTTCCTGGGGTAGCGGGGTGGTGTGGTTCGTGTGGGTGGTGAGGGTGGTCGGGGTGCGTGGGGGAAGGCAGGTAGGGACAGCTGGGAACCGGCTGTTGAGATGAGAGCACGCGGGGCATGCGGCGCCATTACGGCTCGAAGCAGCGGCGACAGTGTCGCGGAGTGTGGGCGGCGGCGACCCAGTTGCTCGTGCATGGGCAGCGCGTGGAACGGCGCAGCGCTGCATGGCGCCGTGCGTGGCACGCCGCTTGCCTGAGAGCCGCCTTGAGCCTCTTCTCCAGCTCAAGGCATTTTTGCCACTCCACCTGCGCCCTAGACGTAGCCATGCGGGGCTGCATCGTGCTGCACGAGCCCAGATCAGACGCGCGAGCTGTTCTCCCTGGGCTGCAGCGTCACTAAATCTGCAGCATGGTGGTGGCGACGCACTCCAGACGCTGCAGACGCCGATCCTGTGTGGTTGCGACGCGTGCAGCAGCGAGCGGGGCTGGCGGATCTGGTGTACACCGTTGCGTGGCTATGTAGACTTTGTTGTTCGCAGGCAGTGCGAGTCATCATCGAGCCATCCGCCATTGAAGGCGGCCAACCGTTCTCAGCACCCAGCAGGTGGTGACGTCGGGCCGCCAGCACAACGCACGACCTAAGCGCGACAACGCGCCTGGCGGGCCGCACCACAGCCTGGACCCCGCTGCGGCCCTGGGCTGTATCTTTGGAAGTTCCTGAATCCTGGGTTGATCAGCAGGCAGCAATTTTGGAAGTAGAGGTGTGCACTGCCCTGTCCATCCAGACTCATCTCAATCCTTGGCGGGGCACATCCCGAGTCATGCGTATGTCAGCAGCGGTGCATACGACCGACGAAGGATGCTGGACCAGTGACTGTCCCCACGTGCGCATGCTGCAGTTCTGCAGCTGTCCGGCAGCTTCCAGAAACGGCCGGGCCGCACGATCAACCCTAGCCTGCCGAGCTTGGCACCACAGCACACCCTGACCTAACACGTACCCTGGCTGACTGCCACCAGAGGTGAGGGATTCCGAGGGATGCAGAGACAACAGGTTGCAACAGCGCCGCTGACCACGCTGACATGATGCTTGGCTCGCGCGTTGCCGCCCCTGGCAGGGTCGATGTTGATTGCGGCGGGCATGGGGTGGAGGCATGGGGGACCGGCCCTCCAAGAGGCACAAGATCTGTCCCAAATTCCGCTTAGGGGAGGTTCACAAGGTGCATGTCCTCACGAACAATGTGCAGCGGTCTGCCCCAGCAGCCTGGCCGCATGCCAGCGGCCCGCACGCCGCGGCGGAGCCGTGCGCTTTGGGGCTGGCCCAACGAGGCGGAGCCTGTTTACAGCTCAGCCTTGTCAGCAGACTGCGTGACCGCATAGGGATACACAGACAGGGTGCCGCCGCCTCGGCTCTTGCAGCTCCAAGGCACACCTGCTGCAGCGGCCGGCGCACTTGCAGCCGACGCCGCGCTTTCCCCTGCCAAGTGCGGGTCAGCAGGGCGCCAGGCGGCGGCCCCAGCGGCCCAGCAGCGGCGGCGAAGCGCCTGCTGTTGGCGGGCGAAACATGCGGGGCGGTGACGCATCCCTTTCGAGGGCGGGACGGCTGTATCCCGGTCCTCGAGCGCGGCAGCAAAGTATAAGACCAATGCACCTGCTCGGCGCTTGCTCAAGACTAGCCGGATTTGCTGGGGCCGTGGCCGCCTGTGGCCAGGTTTGCACACGCGCGCCACTCGTGACCACAACGCCGCCCCTCTCCCCCTTGAAGACCAGGCAGCAAGGCGTGCAAATGGCTGATTCCTGTGATTGCAATGCACAGACACCCTGGGGCCGAGGACGCCACGGGGACCAACCAAGCCCTGTACGCCGCTGGCGATCAGGGGGCAACTGCCGCATGCGGGCCAAGGCAGGCCCGCTCGCGTCGACCGCGTGCTACGCGCCGCCCCCGCCCCCGCCCGCCACGGCCGTCCGCCACTCGTCCATCTGCCGCGCCCACTGCACCGCCGCAAACATCAGGTCAGGGTCCCCGCCGCCGCCCGCATTGGCCACCAGCTGGAACGTCGCCTTGCGCGCCCACCTTGCGCCAAATGGCGGCGGCGGCGGCGCGCCCTCGCCCGCCTCCAGCCTGTCGCGCCACATGCGCAGCAGCAGCGCCTTAACGCGCGCCGTGACGACGCCGCCGGCGCCCGCCGGCGCGCGCAGCGCTGCGTACGCAGTCGGCGGGAACGCGGGAAGGCGCGGCGCCTCTGGCCCCAGCCAGTCGACCGCCAGTACGCGCTCGCCCTCCGCGCTGCCTGCGTGCTCCGCAGCGCGCAGCAGCAGGAGCGCGGCATCGACCACCTCTCCAATCGGCGCGTCGTCCCGCGCAGCCGTCAGTGGCCGCGCATTCTCGATCGCGCGCAGCAGCGCGCCCCGCTCCCATCTATCCTCGCCGCCCCCGGCGCGCTCAGCCTCGGCGGCGGCAACCAGGGGCGCCAGCAGCCCCGGCAGCAGCCCAAACGCGCCCGCGGCGGCGGCGGCGGCGAGCGCGTTGGCGGCCGCCGCCGAGGCAATAGAGCAGTCGTCTGGCTGGCCGAGGGCCGCAAGCAAGGTCAGCGTTTTGATGTCGCGGCGCTCCGCCGCAGCAAGCAGCAGCTCCCAGTGCTCCTGCGGCGCCAGCCAAGCGGAGCCATATGCACCCGGCAGCCAGCCGCACCGCGCAGGGACGACGGGCGGCCGGCGCTCCACGCCTGCGCCGACCTCGGCCCGCATGGCTTCACAGAGCGCCGCCTCACGCGTGAGGGCGCCACGCAGCCACGCTGCCGCGGCGCGGAGTGCGGCCGCGCGGCCGGCCGCGGGGGCGTCCGAGCCTGGCATGTTGAAAATCGCGGGGTCTAAGCTGCACACGACATCCGCTGGCGCAGGGTCGGTCACATGCTCGCTGCCGATGGGGTCCAGGCAGCCGCTGCCGGGCACCCCGCCGCTCTCCTCATCCCTGCAGCCGCCACCAGAGCCACCGCCGCCCCCGCCCGCCTCGCCGCCCGCAGGTGCCGCCGCCGACGGCGCCCCGCGTAGAGGGTGGCGCCGCACCCATAGTCTAAACTCCTCAGCCACCTGGTGCACTTGGTGGCTATGGGGCGGCTGGTGCCGATTGTGCCGCTCGAAGAACAATTGGAGGCTCTGGGCGTGTGATACGTGCCCCGCGTCTTCGAGCAACTCGACCAACTGAAACAGGCCCAACCCTGCGTCGTCGCCGGCGTCGTCAGAGCAGCGGCAACCGCCTTCGCCGACGCCGCTTTCGCCGCCGACTTGGGCGCCGCCTCGCCCCAGCGCCAGGACGCCGGCCCCGTGCGGCTGCCGCACCGCCCAGAGGAGCAGCGACTTGGCGAGCACCCACAGGCGCACCGCTGGCAGCAGCGGCTCTGACAGCTCCACGACGCGCCGGCTGCCGGCCAGGGCCAGGCCGGGGCCCCAGTTGTCACGGATGAAGTTGAGCTGTTCTAAGAGCTGCACAAAGGCCTGCGGCGGCAGCCAGCCGCTGTCGACCGCCCACAGCACGCTGTTCAACGGCCACTGGCGCCACTCCCATGCACGCAGCAGCCAGCCGGCGCAGCGGATGAACACTAAGGGGCCTGGAGGTACGCTTTCGGGAATGGGCCCGCGGACAGAACAGTCGGGGTCGGGCAGCGTGAGCCAATCGACGCCGATGCGGCCTGCGAGCGCCAGCAGCGCTTCGACGCGGCCTGTTTGGCCAATCGCGAGCGCCGCCATCACGCACTCCAGCAGCTGCGCCGCTGAAAGCAGCGGCCGCTGGCGCTGCACGCGCGGCGGCGGCACGCACGGCGCCGCGGCGCGCCTCAGCTCACGCAGGGCTGCCCTCAACTCGGCGCGCTCCGCCCGCGCCGCGGCGGCCGTTACGTCCCAGCGGGCAGCTTCAACAAGCGCATCGACGGCCGCCGCGCCCCCCTCTGCCTCGGCCTCCTCCAGCGCCAGTGCCCGCAGTCGTGCATCCAGAGCTTGGGTCCGCCGTGCGTCGGCGCTGAGCCACGCGTCCCTTTCGCTGCTCGAGTAGGCCCTGGCGGCCTGCAGCTGCAGCCCCCCTCGAACGATGAAGGTCAGCAGCGCCGCATCCGCACCCTGGTGGGGCGCGGCGCCGGCGCCGCCGTCTCCGGCTGGCTGCCGCCCTGGCAGCTGCGGCGCGTCTGGCTGCTGCTGGTGCTGCTGGTGCTGCTCCTGCGCCTTCCGCTGCTGCTCCTGCCCTCCCACATGTCGCACCCGCTGCTGCTCCGCCCGCTGCCGCTGCCGCTGCTCTTGCACAAGCTCCTCCACAAGCCCCACCACGCGCTCAAAGTACGCGTCAGGCGGCGGCGCGAGCTGCGCCAGGCCAGCGGTGCGCCGGCGGCGGCAGCCCTCAAACCCTGGCCCCAGTGGCGGCGGGTCCGCCATTGGCCCAGCCACAGCCCCGTACAGGAGCCGCCAC